GACCTTGACCCTTTTCAAGGTCACAGGGGTAAGATGTCTTAAAATCTTCAAACAACTTCTCCTCAATACCCAAAAGGCTCATGGGACTGACTGAATGACCTTGGTCCACTTTCAACCTATTGTTCTTGTTCGACATTCAAGGTCACAGGCGTCATATGTTTAAATCTTTTAATAGGTTATAATGTATCAAACACTGATATTCTGTCTGTAGCTGTATTTTAGTCCACTTTTAAGATTACAAATGTGAGATTAATACCAGGTGAGCGATGCAGGCCCATTGGGCCTCTTGTTTTAGCTTTTCACTAATGCACAATTTGTTATGACATGATGAAGCAATGCTGGTCAGAATTAAACATGGAGTCAACTGACTAATGGTCAAGGTCATTGGGTCAAATGAAGAGGTTAAATTTTGTAACTTTTCTCTGGTGAACATTTCGTTATGACACTTTGAAACAATGTTGCTCAGAATTAAACAAGGAATCAATTGACCAAAAGTCAAGGTCACTGGGTCAAAGGTGAAGGTTAAATTTTATATCTTTTCTGTGATGAACATTTTGTTATGGCATTATGAAGCAAAGTTGGTCGGAATTTAACAATGAGTCAACTGAATTAAGGTCAAGGTCACTGGGTCAAGGTCAACTATTGTATCTTTTTACTGATGAACATTTGTTTATGTTATTAAAAAGCAAAGTTGGTTGAAAAAAAGTCAAGAGACCAAAGAGCATGGTCACTGGGTTAAAGATCAAGGTCATTTGGGTCCAAAGGTCAAAGACAACGTGAATTTCTGACTGTGACCCTTGCTCTTGATGGAGAAGGTTATTGAAGGTGAAATAAAACATATCAAAGCTAACAAATGAGTATTGCACCAGTATTTACATTTCTGTTAGCCCAGCAAATATGGAGGTGGAAGGAAACAAGACTCACATCATTGTACATGTAAAATGGATATTTTGCTTTTTGAGGTCCAAATGTCAAACGTTAAGCTCAGTTATATGGGCAGATTGCTTCTTGATGATTATGGGGGATATATGCCACAAGACGGAGCCCTTACTGACCTGTCAGTGTTCTAGTTAAGAATGATCTTGACCTACTTTCAAAGTCACTGGGGTCAAATATGTTAAGAAATTAAACAACAATATCCTAAGAACCATTTATACTAGATTCATGATACTTGAGTATGTTTTGTAGACCAGCAGTGTAAATATTTTACCAGGGCCAAGTGAGCTTAGCCCATGGCGCAGCGTCCGGCGTCCATCGTCCGTCAACTTTTTCTTTTAAAACGCTACTAGTCCTGAACGGCACAGGGGATTTCGACCAAATTTGGTCTGGAACATCATTGGCCAAAAGGTTCTCAGTTTTGTATAAACAAAGGGTATGGTCCCCCTGGGGGCAGAGGGGCGGGGCTAAATAGGGGGAAAATAGGTAAATCTCTAAAAATCTTCTTTTCAACTAATAGAAGGATTTTGACCAGAAAAAACCCAATTTGTTTAATTGGTATAAAAAAGTGCATGTGAGGTATGTGTAGTTCTTCTTGCAACTACGTTTCTTGTACTCATTTGATAAATCTGTATGGTACTCAGCAGGTTTTAAATTAAAAAATAAAATACCAGGTGAGCTAGTAAGGGCCATTGGGCCTCTTGTTCTCAATTACAGTAATGAGGTCGAAAGTCCACTTTAAATGCTAGTCAGGGGTCAAATATCAACATGGGTGAAAAGCTTAAACAATCTTCTTCTCAAGTTCCATATGGCCCAGGGGCATGATATTTGGCCAGTAATTACCTGGGATGGAGTGCTATAAAGTTTTCTCATTTAAATGATCTTTACTTGCTTTTAAGGTAACTGGAGTCAAATATGTTAAAAACTTCAAACAATAATATCCTGATAACCATTTGGACTAGAGTCATAATACTTGGGTATGTTTTGAAGACCAGCAGTGCAAATATTTTTCTCAATAACAGTTATAAGGTCAAAGGTCAATTTTAAGTGCAAGTCGGATGTCAGAGGTCAACATAGGTTAAAGGATTTAACAATCTTCTTAAGTTCCGTACATCCCAGGGTCATTATATTATACAAAAAAAGTTATCATTTATCCCCCCACACCCCAACCCTTCCGTTAGTGACCAACTGTACAGGGACATAGGCTTTTGCTCATTATACCACAGTTGCACTTGTTATATCATCACTTATTGGTAAGTATTTGCTTTAGACAGCTGTCAAACTGAAATAAACTAGCGCTGGTTCGATGCTGGAGCGGGGGAAAGACCATGGGAGGAAGGTGATATATTAAAACAGAGATACAGTATATATTTTACAATATGTGTCTCTGATTAAAACGATATATACTTGCATCTTATATCAGCGACACCATTGTCTTGTCTTGTTGTGTGGTAGACGGTCCCTTGTTTGATTGGAGCACCCTATGACATCACAGGTTCATAAAATTGATTATCATTCGCGAAGCGACCATCAGCCAGGCATACTATACTGTCTATGTGTTGACTCGCTAATATATGCAGATTATAAGAGTTGGTAAAATCACTACGGCACGAAACATGCACTATGCAGCATGCAATGTATGTACACACAACCTTAGGAGCAAGTCTATATACAGTCAGATATTATATGAGTTAATAGCCTGGCCTTGACAAACTACACAGTGTTAATTATGATTGAATGTCGGTTTCCCAGCCCAGCCCTTTCTTTTTACTGGTTGGAAGAATAGACAAAATACCTTGACACTTTAGATGTAGGGCATGACACATCCTGCTGGTTATGAATTCACAATCAGAACGAAATGTTTTATGTATAACATTCGGGGAGTCTAGCACTATTGATAGATCCACAGTTATATCTCCAAGTGTTTTTGGCAGTCCGTTGACGAATGGAATGCGTATTTCATTGAGCGACTCAAGTAGGTAATGTTTTCTAGACACAGTAGGCAGGTTGAGTCAATAGCGTTCTGGTTGAACACATTCCTATTGCTCTGTAGCATATATGGCCCTGTCAGAAGATGCAATGTTGTTGGTAATCTTTCAATGTCTCCACGATCGGTTGATACTGATCCCAGCACTGGGTGATTATCAGCCCCACCCTAAATCATTCACAATTCAGATAAGTTAAGGAACTGAAGTACTAATGACCTGTCTGTGCAGCGCAGCTGTCCAATACCTATTGATACTAGATTCGAAGCTTAACTTCCATGCCGACTTCAGAATACTGTTTTCGAGGATAGCATGTGCGCTGGGTAGGTTGTATACTGCCAACAGATCCGAAATTTCGAAGAACAAGCCTCGATCTTTCGATGGTTGTAGAACCTGCTGGCGTCTAGCGATGTCCCGTTCAATAGAATCAGATGTAGCCACAAAGCCAAATAACTCCAGCATTCGTTTATAACGGCTCTCAACGGAATTGTTCAAGTAAGGATATAGACGCCCATGTCAGCTACACTGTCCGGAATTCAAAGTATCTGATTTCACTTGGTTCTTAGTTATGCATATCAAATTTTATGACTGATCTGAAAACCAAGATGCTGACAGGCAGCCATCTTGTTAGGGCCCCGCATTAATGAGGGTACCCTATTCCGTTTTTGCGTATTGCAGAGTTATCTTCTCTTGGGAGCATGTATTGATTGTTACGTCATTGGTTTGTGCGAGAAAGTTACGTCGTTTTCTCAAAAATTGATGACGTTACTCTCACAAACAAGTGACGTAACAATCAATACCTGCTCCCAAGAGAAGATAACTCTGCAATACGCAAAGACGGAATAGTAATCATGGTGTCTGTCAGTTCATCCGCCTGTCCACTTGTCCGTTTATCCGTCAGCACTTACGTTTCCAGAGGTTATCTCATGATCCAGATTGCCAAAATTTCTGAAATTTCACATGGTGATACACTGTGATATGCAGATGTGCAATAGTGGTCTAAAAAATTCCTAGGTCAGGCCTAAATTAAAATATTGTTTGTTGCCCTTTCCTGGCGGACCCAATAAATTCGTTCCGACTGAAAAAAATATATTTGCATTTACCGGCAAAAAAATTTTTTTAATTGATTTTTCGTTCTGACCGAAAATCTTATATTTGTATTTACTGCTCAAAACTTTTTTATCAGCATCCTCTGGTTTTATCTTTCCCGTATAAGGTTAAGCCCGTTTAGTATCACGGGAGCGTCTGACTTGATCGCAGGCATGATTTGAGATTCAAAGCATTGGTTTGACATCGACGTCGATTGTTTGGAAAGCATGACGAACGTTGCCCTGTGTGTCACAATGTAATTGAAGAGTAGGGTTCATTCAAGAAACCGTTGGTCCAAAACAAAATTATCAACGTTTGTACAAAGGAAGTTTGGGATGATGTTGCAGGGGGGTTCTTGGTGATCAAAATCAGGATGGCCATGTTAACGATGCCTTTGAAAAGGGACACGTCACAATGAAATTGCAGTGGTGGATCACAGGAAATGTTGAGGCAGATTTTAATGATACTGTTTTCACAGTTCTCAACTTCATTAATAACTTGAAATTTGTAACCATGTCAATATAATTTCATTAACGTCGACAATAAGTTTTGTCATTTTGTATTAATGTCGAAATATTTGGCTTGGCAGGACATCTTGCTGTTTCATTGGTTACTTTAATATATGAGTTTTGAATAAGAATGCTGATCGCATTATAATTGATTATTATCAACTTTTGAAATATTTGACTGGACATGTTTCTTTTTGTTAGTTAGTTACATGACTTTTGAATTAGAATATTTATTGATTTATTGCGTGTGGTTTACGGCAAGTATTTGTTGGCGTAACTTACGTGTGTTTCAGCCGTTTTGGCTGGGGTTTGATTTCCCAATCAGATGTGAAAAAGTTTGCACGTTTGCATGTTGGTTTTCTCTGGGTACAACAAGACCCTCCACAAAACATTCTGGTCAACAAGATTGATTTAATTGCCTTGTTGCATCATTGTTGTAAAATAGAAAAAGTTTGTATTTACATTACTTGGAATTTTACAGGTCAAACCATCATCCCACCTGTGTATGTCCAGAGTAACACTACCCATACACTGACCCGTCCAGCTGATGACAAGGCCACTAAACTGACATTGACAGAACCGGGAGGTATCCCATATGTCACGGGTACCACTGTGGAGGCTGGTCTGAGTGGTAGTGTTAAACCCTGGTTATCTTCCAGTCACACAGGAGGGAGTTATACACTGACGTTTGCAAAGTTCCTGCCCAGTGACATGGGGATATATACAACTGAAGTGGACGGGATTGTGGATACACAGATAGCCATTGTACAAGGTAAATTTTAAAATAATCAATTCTATAAGCTCGACTGGTCCAAAGGACCATGGTGAGCTTATGCCGTACCGCAGCGTCCTTTAAAACGGTACTAGTCCTGAATAGCTTTTTGGATTTTGACTAAATTTGGCCTGGATCATCCTTGGGCACAAGGGGCTCAATTTTGTATAAATGGAGGGTGTGGCTTCTCTGGGTGCAGAGGGTTGTGGCACAATAGGGGAATTTGAGGTTTAAATCTTTATAATCCTACATCTTCTGTACTATTTATGGGATTTTATACAAATTTGGCATTGACCATCCTTTGGGAAATTTGAGGTTTCTTGGCTGTGGAATCTATGGAAAATTGCCATATAATTCAATTGAGTATTGGAACTACATCATGGATTTGTACATCAATGGTTTCAATACTCCATGGAAAGAGTCCATGGATAAATTCCATGGAATTCCATAGATATACATGGAAAATTTCCAAAGATTTAACTGGAGTAGACAGTTAAATGTGATGTTGTGAGTATGCGTCTTACTATTTCTGCATTCCTTCTGTGATAATGATGCTACTTGGTCCATGTCTTCATAGGTTTCGATAAAACAACTTTTGAGAAAGGGAACTTAACTTCATATATTATTTTGTGCACCTCAGTCAAGAATTACAAATTTGAATTAATTCAAAATTTCAATAATTTCGAATTATAAGCATAAAATAATTCAGAATCATTAAGTTTGGCAGATCACGAGCACATCCAGCACTGCACATGTAATACCAAACTGGCCATCAGTCATCATGTTTATAATTAACCTTTAAGTCCATATTTATTGACTTAAGCAAGTCTACACGATCGCATTTGATCAAGACATAGTAGACTTCCTCAAGTCCATTTGATTACATAGACCCTAAAGACAACGTAATTGAACAATTTACAGACATTATTACAACAGTTATTTCACACAAGATCGGGTCCACTTTGTCTCACACATGCACACTTGCATATGCACCTTTGCATTTTTAACCTTAAATTAAATTAATACGTTGCCAACGTTAGTATTATATACATATATTTATTCTTATTCCTACGTTTTCATTTTATTTTATATTAATTGGGAAAATAGTTGTTCTTCAACTAGTGATGGTTGGCTATCATGGTTATCTAACCCGAGTTAGTTAATTTTCAAATTTTGTAAAGGTACGAGGTTTACTGGGTGTCTTTTACAAATTTGATATTAATCTATGAAAAAAATGCAGGGTAAATCAAAATTATCACACTGACAAACTTATTAGAAAGATAACGTTTTATTTACCACTTCTGTTTTACGATCGTGCTGGTTTAGAAAGTCAAAGACAGACAATGTAAAAGCCTTGTGTGACTGTAGGTATAGAAGTAGGTATCTAATGCAGGCTTACCTATACTTACAGCCTGTCTAGGGTGGTCTCTAAATAAAAGATGGCGTGCAAAGGAATGCAAGTTGTTAGAATATCCTTACCTTGAAAAAACATATCTCATAATGCTAGTATTGCGCTATAGCTAGACGCTTTGATTTATTGGAAGCTTAAATGGTAGTGGGAGTACTTTTTGTCGAATTTAACGTTAAAAAATGGTTAAAAATACATTTCAAACATTTTATTATTTGTTATCAACAAAAATACGTATTTTTTAAATGTTTAAATAGTAATTTTGTGAAATTGTTATACATGGGCAGAGTATTAAACATCAATACGTTATGTTGTTTTTGAAAACCAATCACAAATCACTAGAAATACAAGATGTGGTAAACAATTTAATGCACCATGTGACAGATGCGTCCAGCTAGAACTCTTCAGTGTTTCTTGATGCCAAAATCACATTGCTTAAAAGACTTAAATGTTGGAATAGGCAAATGCTCTGCTCATGTATAATGGCCACAATCTGCATGGTATTCATTGTTTCAGTAACTTCATTATGATAAAATATTTTATGTTTTACTTTGATACCAGGGTTGTAAATTTATATCACTAGAATATTTCAATGTATGCTAAAATACCAATTATTCGAATTAATATTAAGTGTTTTGAGTTGAGAATGTTGCCATGTACTAATTGAAGCCGTCCATCCAATTTCAGGTTGACTCGTACGGTTATGTTGCTCCCTGTGATGCAACAATTTCTGACACAGAAAAAGTATTTTATAAGAGTCAGTTGTAAAGGTTGTCAGTTGTGTATCATGTTGGTCAGCAGCATTGTTTAATATGTGTTTAGTGTGAATTGTCATTATTCCGTCCATAATTGTCTTGAGAAACTTGACCATATCTTAGATGAGGTGTGTACGTATATTACGGTGAAGTACAAAATGATATCTAAGATTTGATCAGATACTGATGATATGATGTGTTTACCCACGCATAGTTTTAGTGTTAGGGGATAAATATAAAGTATTACCAATGCACAGCGCGCACTTTGTCTATGCAAGTGTACAGATACACTTTTGACTGCTACAAACTAAAATAATTGTATCAAACGATACAGTGTTTCTTGTTAAAAATTCAAAGTTATCCTAAAATTTCATTCCATATCCTTAAGTTTAGACAAACAGATAGCCCGGACAAGCAAAGGTCAATTGAGACGATTCTTATCCTTTTTTCTTGAAACCAGTTAATCTATATGTAGGTCTAATTGAAAATATTTTTTCTGAACATTGTATTCTTGATCTTATATAAGTTTGTGAACACTTCTGATGTGAAGACTGATACAACCGTCCATACTATAAAAATGGCAACTTTGTATGATAAGTACTGTAGAATGTTTAATGTCTATGTATCTTTGAAACTTTGTTAGAAGATAAGACTCGTCTGTGATGACGGTCTGTGTATATATTACAAAACAATGTGTAAAAAGTAGTGTTTGGATATTGAAAAAAGTACAAACAATTAAAGAAAGTACAGTGTTTGATTTTATCATAAATTTGTTACTGTTCCGAGTTAAGGTTGAACGGGATCTTCTGTATTTGTAGTTGTATGTAACTTATTTAGGAATTCAAGCACATTTGCAAAAAAATGTCTATCACAACTGCGACACATACTGTCCAAAATTAAGTGTTTTAACAACAAAGTAAAGCATTATAAAAATTCTGTTTACACAACCAATAAGAGTTTCTATGAGACGTTTCGATGTCTAGTACGGTGTGAACACTGTCACATTCATCAGACAAATGACCAGTGAAGCGTATGCACATTAAGGTGTAAAATGTGTACGAGGTGTCCACAAAATCGATGTCGTTTCGGTGACGCTGTAAGCGATTGTACAATATTTTTTTTATGTATGTACCGAAATGTCTCGAGTCATCGAAACAAGTCTTACTTATCAACCTGAAGAAAATGTTTAGAAACAAAGTGAAGCAGCATTCAGAAGGATTTTCCTGTGCTTTCTGTTGCATTTTGACTACCTTTCTTGACCCTACCAAACATCAGTTGAAATTTCCCGTCATACATTCGACTTAAAAGAACGGTGAACGATACGATTAGATCTGGAAGAAAAAACAGAATAATTTCAGTTCTTCAAAATATTCACCTGTCTTATTTCTTGTGAATTATTGTATTAATCTTTAGCGTTTGAAAACGAAATGTTAACATTTTTTTGTATAGATTATATTATTTATTTTTGTCATATCATATGTTGTATATTTTCTTCTTAAATGTGCACGTACATTTTATATGATTCTGTTGTTTATAGATATTTTCTATCGAAATTATCTAATTTAATGCATAGAAAACGCAAAATGTTGTGAGCCATGCTGGAGGCAAAAATAGTGAAATTTCAAAAGTGCAGGATAAAGTCAAACAAATGTAAACAAGTAGAGGGGGAAACGAGATCTGAATTGAGTCATTAATGAATTATGTCCAGGAGAAACTTCGTAATAGAGTAAAATATAATTCAACCAGGTTTAATTTATGTATTATGACATATTGTCTTGAATAAAAGAAGTAGCATTCTAAATATTTGGTACCATGTACTCGGTAAATAATGGAATGACATTGTGAATTAGTGACGTCATACCATTTCTTTCTAAAGGCACTATATATATTTAATTTGTAAGCTGTATTGATTTTAACAACTGTACTGTCATGCTTTGTAAATATCTTTGCTTTCTTGCCTTATACATCAAAGATGACCCTTCCGGTTGATTACATTCATATTTCTAATTTAATCACATTAAAACAGACCATGGTTTGTCATCAGTATAAAAATTCCTCTGATATCATATTTGGTGGGTACAGTATAGCAGATTTTGTATAAAAAGTCAGTCAGGTTTATAATAAACAAGCCGGATACAGATTTACAAGGAAAGGCTATGTCAGAGTGATGCTGAATTAAGTCGAATATTACGCGACTGAAGGGAAAGTCCTTTATAGTCAGTAAATGAGACGCAATTGATTTCTTTCAACATACGGTACTATTTCGGCAGTTAGTTCATACACCACAAATACGTTGTTACAAGCATGATCAATAGGTATTCAATATATATATATATATAAAACAGCATGACGACATATTAATAAAATTCAATCAGACTGGATTGCTTTTTGTCGGTGGTCGGTGTGTGGAACTTGCAGTGCCATATATATTGTACTGTATAATAGTAGCAATACTCTCAATGTTTTCTTTTGTTAATTTTACACATCTCTTCACTACTTTTGTAACGATGTATATTAAAATATAAACTAAATTTTGTTCATATTTGTAAATAATCAATTATGCATAAAAATATATCAAATTTTATTTTGTACATTTGTGAAAAAATATGTGTATAGTTATGCAGTAACCCATGGAAGAGTCTGGGGACAACGTTTTCGTGATTATGACGTCAGGTGTGAAAAATCTCGGGGGGGGGACAAATTTAAAATACACAAGCATTTGAATTACTATTCTTTTTGAAATAAAGTTGGTTTTGAATGGCCTTGTTAAAGTTCATAGAAAATATATAGTTTTATAGCCTTTTGTGATTCATAGTTATATACACTTCGTTTATTCCGGACATTTTGCTTGAAACTTTCAAGAAAAAAATACCAATTCGTACAGTAACTAATTGAATAGGATTTCTGATTCAACCAGTTTGTCTGAATAAAAAGAAATGTCTAGGTGAATAAAAATGAAATATCTCTTGACATTAATGAAATCGTAAGGAAGGTATCTACAAAATTATTCTAAACTGGCATCCGGAGTAACGAGGTTCCCTGATAAATGTAACGTATAAACTGATCAAATATTACTATGTTATATCATAATGTTTTACATACGTCATATGTTGTTATAGCTTGATTTTTGCAGCAAATATATTAACAAGTGCCGATACAGTTTTAATATGTAATGCAATTGTTTACGTTGTGATTTATTATTTTTTTTAGATTGCCCGCTACCAAATAAGAATTTATAGAAAAATGCTTTAGGAGATGAATGAAAATATGCTAGAATAATGGCATCGAATATAATATTTTGTAATTTTGAAAACATTAGAATGTTTTCTTGAGCAATTAGGCAACTCCAAAATTTGTAAAACATGGTCAACTGAAACGGTTGATGAGGTATCCCTTGATAGAGAAAACACGTGACGTTCTGATATTTTACATTTTCAATGTAAACAGATGTTTTATATATTCTAGAGAAGCTTCGTAGTTATTGATCTTATCAGTTTAATACATTATCAAAATATGATAACTAATTGTACAACTTTGTTTAACCATTTGCTTTTTAGTGTGCTCGATTGTTTTTAATTGTTTCCCTATTTACGTTATGCAAACATGCAAAACTGCACCATGTCAGCACGATTGGTAATGATACACGAAAGAATGATGAAATGTTAGCTACGTCACAGTGTTATTTTGTGACGTCATTGAATTTTAAGAATTTAAATATAATAAATTGGAGGTAAAAGAATAGGGGCCGTATTCATGAAACCCTTCTTATGCTTAAGATCAGATTCTGGGCTCAAGCGGAGTTTTGTTGTTCTGTTGATAAATCAATAGTACTGCAGATTTTCCCCATTATTTTGATCATTTCAGGAGAGACTTAAAACAGAATAATGTGTTCCATGTCTACACTACACTCTTTGACCGTGTCACTTGATGTAAGTAAGCTACAAGGAGGTTGGTCTGAGCACAGAATATTTGTCTAAGCATGAGAACGGTTAAATGATTAAAGAGCCAGGTTATACCAAAAAGACGACTGTTTGGGATTGTTTGTTCTCGTATTAAACAAAACATGGTGCATAACTCTAAATCTGTGATCTTCAACGTCCTCTAGTCGTACTTGACTCTACGTCTTTAGTCACTAACTTTAGAATGTACATTATACCATTATTTTAGCTGTTTTATAGTGTCATGTATTTTACATTTTTTAAATTCTTTTAAAGAGAATTGTATTGAAATTTATCTGAAATTATGTTATCTTTTCAGTCATTTTGAGTATCATTTAACGCTACAGTTTCTGTGGTTGTGGTTTGAGTTTAAGGTTTAGTAAAATATTCTGATTTTTTTATCAAATGTTCGACTTTTTAGTAAAAAATAAACCACTTAATTATTGCTATGAAATTCAGGATCAAAATTGCTTTCTATATTTATTTTCAACTGTTTTTACATTTTGTGAACTATAACCGAATAATGTATTGCTACTTAAAGATTTTATTTTTCATTTATAGATACATACACAAAAACTTGTTATTACGAATTCTATGACCACAGTTTCGATAATGTAAGGATTTAATTCGAAATACGTTTTTTTTTTTTAAATGCTGAGATATGCTTAAGCATGTGGCTGTAAGACCTTTATGGCTATGTGCGAAGTTCCGTATGTCAACTGAGAACAATGAACACATTTTTGAAAAAAAATTGACTTTGGACCTACGATTAATTTAACGTTCAACATCGTAATAACGAAGTTTGACTGTATTTGATTTGGTTGTACTTTAAGGTGACACCCCTGTATTATAAGTGTATAGTTTATGGATCGTTTTATTGAATACAGTAATTGGTTTACAATACTATTTGAATAAGTTATGATTTTAAAAATTAAGGGTGGGAAACGCAGACGTTTTTTCATTAATCTTTATTTTGAGTTCTTCAAACATAATTGTTAAATATACTGTCTTTTGTTTGCTTAACAATGCACATTTTTGAACCCCCAAAAAATCGAGATTTTCCCTCAATCACTTGTATTCTACAGTAAAGTTGTTTCCTCAGTATTTTTGATTTCGCCAATTCAGATTTCTACGAAATAAGATGTTTTAAAATAATCGCAAATGTGAGGTAATTTTCGGTTTCTATAGTATGATAAAGAATATATTCAGTGTCGCATGCGTTAATAAGATATGCCGTGTCATACAGAATGTGATTCCAAGGTAATTTAGCATTAAACAATGAAAACTTGAATGCAATCTATCGGTCTATTCTACGTTAACCTCAAAGCAAAATGTTTGCTGCTATCATAAAATAAAGTTTCTGCTATGGGTGAGATTTAATAACAATTTGGTTTTATCCGTATGGCTTTGACGAAGCGTGTTCCTATTGAATGTTTTTATTCCTGTTTTTTTTAAACCGATCCTTATCTTTAACCGGTATATTGCTTAACATATTAATTGATGTAAAAGTTTGTGATTACCACCTAGTAAATTGAAATATACATGGGTATCATCTTATTTTAGATTCATTAGCTAGCAATGTACCAGATACTATATTTTAGCTAGGTATCCTATATTTTATACATATTTCTGTGTAGATGTTTATTAAAAAAAAAATAAAGATCATTGATCTCTATGTTTGATATTTGGTTGTTTCTTTGTATTGCCTTCTGTATAAGAATAGAAACGAAATACCAGATCGTCATCGTTTCATGAAAATAACAAGCGGAATCAAACAACGAATACAGATGGCAATACACTATGTTTCAGGAATTTGCCCCTAGCCCGACTCCGCCCCCAGGGAATTAGACTTTCAAACGGTTGTGTAACGATCTATATAAATAATTATTTATGCGGAAATGTAAACTTTTTGGCATCGAATGTATTGCTCATCTTAATGTATACCGTCCAATCCAGAATATCGATCACAACAAATCTCGCACACAGTGAACAATTGTTTATTATGGCAGACATTGAAACTCCTTAATTCATAAACAGATGATAGCTTAACGTTATTTCAATCATTGATAACACACCACAAGTATTGTACGTGCTTACGATATAGGTACCTATGATGAACTCTATAAATCAGGACCTTATTAATCTTAATCAAAGTCATCAGTGTCGACCTTGTATTACAGTCAAGCTACGGTACCACTAGGATTTAGTGGTATCCCTATACTGAGCACTCGATTACTGATAACAGTAAGGCTGAAGTACAACTGTTGTTATATGCGTCTTTTTACTGATAACTTAATAAGTGATAACAGAAAAATCAAAGTACAAATGATGTTGATAGCATCTATGTACGGAACACCAAATGATTGATAACGGTGAGGGTCGTGGGTTCGAATCCCGTCGTGGCAGTGTGTTGTATCATTGATACTTTACTCCGGTTGTTCCAATCTAAACAGCTGTAAATGATAACGTGTTTGGGCAGTGCTGGAATTGTTGAATGCTAGCTGTGTGCGCCTAAATGGCAGCACCAGTTGTATGCAGGGAGTTGAGAAAGACATTGGCTGGTTGCAAGTAACATAACTGTAATGATATCTGATTCTTTAGAGATGTCCAATACTCTTCTATTCGTATAATACATCAAGCCATGGTGTTAGTATGACATAATATTGTATCAGTCCGAGGTCAAACGTGGACAAACATTAGTTGAATTGTTTACTACCCAGTAATAAGTTAAAGCATGTCTAGTATGAGACATGAATGTTAAACGTGAATATCTCGTTAATGGAGATAGATGATAGTTAACTATTAACTCCCGGAGGGGTGGTAATGGTACGCTTGAAGGTGGTTATAAGAACCACTCACGTTTTCTTTGTCATTGTGTAAGATTTCAGGTTAATGTATAAGGATACCCTACGATACATGGGTAAATATAGCATTTTACGTTACATTACCCGAATCTGATATGTATGTTCATTAATTCTAATAGTTCTTAGGTTCATAAACTGTCTTGTGAGTGTCTTTATATGATAAATCACCATAGGAAAAACGCATTAAAACTTTTCTGAATAAGATACGTTAAAATAAAAGTGGACATTGATAACCATCTCAAAACCAGGTAGCACAGTCACTTTAGATCCAAGGTTTCAGGCTCACCCCTTCATCAGGGATCGGATGGTCCTGATGAAAAGCTAAGCCCGGAAGTTTGGATGAAGAGTGACTGTTGCCATTTATTTTGTTATGTTCCCTATATGAACTTCATGAAAGATATTTATTAAAATCTTCAAAACTGTTCAACATAGACACCACTGTCTCTAAACAGGACTAAACAGGAACCTTTCTTAAAACAATTTACAATACAATAAAATAAAGAGGATCTTGTATTGGATCAAAATTTCATTTGACGAGCCAAAAAAATAACAAATTGTGACGGGTTTTTAATGAATCAAGTATGAAATGCGAACAAATTTAAGATCCTCTTTATCTTATTGATGTAGAATTTTCCAGAATATTTATGAACCTGTTTTCTCAAATTTGATACTTCTTTTTTGACTACTGTTTCCGACTGCAGCAACATCTGCGCCATCACCTTCAATATGTGCCAGCTTATTGGAATACAGAGGAGGCCCTGCATTGCTCTTCTTTCCAAAGAATTATGCGTCTGTGCTTTCTTGAATAGTTGATGCGTCCTCAACATCATGCGACATTTCTGGTAGCTGGTAATATTAGGTCGTCCTTCAGTTGATACGTCATCGGTGGAGATTGTCGCCATATGGCATCTGTCGTTTATACGAATATCAACCTAAAAGTTACCCAATGAGAGTCGATTTAACCTAGTTTTTATTGTCATATAAAAAGTATTTTTAACTGACAAACGTTACTTTCCATTAGGATTTCTGTTTGAGTTTAAGATATACCATTTGTCATCCGTTACTTTAAAACGTAGGAATTCAAATTTACGATTTAAAACTGTTCTACGATTTGATAAAAATCATAAGCAGTTTTAATGTTCAATGTCATACAGAGGAAATGGGTCATCGCCTGATTCACCATGTTATTTCAGCTATTGATTATTGGCGGTGTTTGAACATGTAGCGGTTATGTAAATAGCAAACAAGGTCAAGGTCGAATTTGATAATACCTTTATAAAGGGAATCCAGATCATTTAAGCCATATTATCGTGCTCGGGTAATTAAAATCATTCTAAAAACATCGTCTTTAATTGCGTTTCCAAGGTTTGAGTCCTAGCTAAGGTCATAGGTCACAGAGATAAAAACTCTCAAGTATTCGATACTGGTTTTTTTTTTCTGTCATGACAATAGCTTTGATAAATCATTTCTGAAAAGATAATCACACATTTCGGGACTTTTATGAGATATAATTAAAATGAAATAAACAAAATATAATCAATAACAACAATCTTTTGACTGTAACAAATCACTTAAGGGGTTGACCCGGATTCGAACCCTGTAACTTCAGACTGCTGTACTATAGCTCTAACCAATTGAGCTACCTGGTCGACGGAAGTGTCCTGGACGAAATGTTTTACAGTTATATCCAAACGGAAGTGAAGTGGAGATTACTGTATATATGAAAACAAACTACAGGGTAATGGGACAGGGATCCTGAAGGAGCTGGAAATCAATTGCCATACTACGCTCTACCTTTTATCGAACACTGTGCATCTAATGTAGAAATCACTTATGGGACATCCATTCATGCAAAGTGGTTCCGTTGTCTCCATTACAATATTCTGAGATTTGGATTAGCTTTTTTTTCTTTTTCCGCAGGATGTTTCTCGAGATTGCTGACTTCTCCGTTGTCAGAAGAATAGACGAGTGAGATAGCCCATTAACTGGGTAGACGAACGGCGCTATAAACCTGTAATAAAAATGTAAATCATTTTTGCAGCACCGCGTTTGTCCATCAAAGTTAGCAACCTTTTTTGTATTTTAAAGCATTAGATACGCACTGAGTACTTTGTTTTAATACCCGCCCTTTACACCCTGCATCCTCTATCCCTATCCATATAATAGGGATTATCCGTGATTATGTCTTTGTATATATTCATATGTCCTTCGATGTTTTTGTTTCGAACCCGTCTTGAGTAAAGTTTGATTCACCAAAAAAGGAGCGGGAGTATTCTAGAAAGAAAAAAAATACCGAAATGTCGCCAAAACCGCAATTTGAATTCATAATCGATCAAACTGTGTCATAATATAAACAAAGGTGAGATCTGCATGCAAACCATCGAAAAAATGCAAGGGAGTAAGAATACCAAATCAACTGTGACATGTATGTTGGGAAAGCAGGGATGTTTCTACCAAAAAGGCGAAAGCTCATGGTCGGATAATAGAAAATCGCCTCCCTTATCATACATGTTAGCAGTAAGCAGTCCCTGTTGGTGAAAAAGGACGAGGAAAGTGGCAATAGCATCAGTGTTGATGCATGCGGATACTTCCTACTGTTAGGTATGTCTTTGGAAAGGTGTTACACATAACGAACCGATATCATATAAAATGGTTTTGATCATCTATGACGTTGGCAAAACGTCATAGTTATATTTTTTGGATTAATACTGCTTTGTTTCAATTTTAATTCATTTCTCTGTCATTATGCATTCCTTGCAAGCCTGAATTTAGCTTTATACCCATATAGACTATCCATCAATGTGTTTAAACACTTCGGAGAATTAAGCTGGGGGAATACGGAAACCACCTTCAGACCATGAAATATTAAGTAATATATGATATTATGTTACGTAGAACAGGCTCTAAGTTTCAATGTATCCTAAGCATTCTCTTTGATAGATAAATTACAGTTTAGGATAGTTTCAGTTTACTAGTTAAAATACCATGATTTCATTAAAAAATATCCCCTTTTAATGTTTACAAGTGTTTTTAATGTTTATATCTTTCAACTTAGTCATTATACTTGGGCGATTTGAAGTTTATGTCAATATAACAAGGTAATCGGTAGACTTAATTAATTTTGAGCGTAAGAGGGTTTGATCGAGTCGATTATATTTAGGTGACACACCGACGGGTTGTACAGGTAATTCATATACACTGTAGTTATTTGTGAACCTTTATTTCTGAATGGATCGTGTCATACGAACCAAGAGGTTCCTTACAGGTGAACGATTTTGGCGGGGAATTAGCGTTGATACAACAAAGCACAACAAACTAGACTGTGTTGAAAGCTTTATTATCTTACAACCATAAAGAAAAAATCGGGTCTGTGTCGAATTTCATCACATATATGTTTATTAAATATGTGTAAGCTTCTGCAAATGTAGGTTTACACATATTTACAGATTTGTGATTCGTTGAATTGCAACGATATACTGAACACACAGCTCCGATAAAGCATGTTATGCTTTATACCGCGATCACTGTTACGGGTAGAGACGAGGACAAGCATGTCAGAAGTACGCAGCCAGATCGGTCGTTCGTGATATAATGCAATCTGATAAAAGGTATGTTACATCACAATCCCTCTGTTCAAAGTCTGACACCCGATATAAAACCTGGTCGAAGTTGTACACTAGACAAGGCCCGCTCTATTTTGGAGACAACGGATACTATGAACTACGGTAAAGGGTAGGCGTTATACACATCGCAGGGTACGCTTACATATAATTAATGAAATCCCTATGCATACAAATAGGATCGTTTGTGT